GGAGAAGAGGTAAGAACAAAGGTGAAGGATGCAGGTAACTGCAAACACAGACACTTCGAATGGCAACAGTAACAGCAGCTGCAACGCTAAACCCTAAACCCTAAACCCTAAACCGCAAACCCTAAACCCTAAACCCTAAACCCTAAACCCCAGACCCTGGAGTAGACGGTGAAAGAAACCAAGAAAAAACTGATGATAGACAGAGTGACGCACAAACGTAAACCAAGGGGCCATTCTAAACCCTAAACCCTAAACCCTCAACCCCCAACTCCAAACCCTAAACCCTAAACCCTAAACCCTAAACCCTCACCTGTTGCTGGCCCCAGCTGCCCCGACTCCACGAGATGCCGCCGGCGCTCGCGGGCCGCCATGCGCGCCGCCACCGCCTCGGGGGAGTACTTCGCAGCCAGTCTAAGAAACCACAAACCCTAAACCCTCAAAGTTAAACCCTAAACCCTAAACCCTAGACCCTAGACCCTAAACCCTAAAACCCTAAACCCTAAACCCTAAACCCTCAACCCTCAACCCTAGACCCTAAACCCTCAAAATTAAACACTAAAGCCTAAACCCTAGACCCTAAACCCTAAACCCTAAACCCTAGACCCTAAACCCTAAACCCTAAACCCTAGAACAAACCTGTCTCTTCTCCTCATGAGCCTGAATATGTCTACAGCTACGTGCTTCTGCAGCAGCATCCGCCTCTCGGATTTGAGTTTGCTGCTGCTGCTGCTGTTGCTTTCTGTGTCCATGCCTTTCCACTGCTGCTGCTGCTCCTCCTGCTGCTGCAGCTGCTGCAGCTGCTGCTGCTGCGGCAGCATGTGGTGCTGCTGCTGTCGTAGTGGGTGCATCGCGAGGGCTGCTGCGTGCTGCTGTAGAAAGCTGGCGTTTCCTCCTGCTGCAGCAGCAGCAGCTGCAGAAGCAGCAGCAGCAGAGTACGGAGCAGCAGCAGGGGTCCCAGCAGCAGCAGCAGCAGCAGCACGACGAGCAGCATCAGCAGCAGCAGGCTGCAGCTGCTTTCGCAGCTCAGGTGATATCTTCTCCCCCTCAAACTGGCGGATCCACCGCACATAAAACCGCTTCACCTGAGGTGTACATACACCCCAAATTACACACATACACACACAACCATCCTGCTGCTGCTGCTGCTGCTGCTGCTGCTGCTGCTGCTGCTGGTGCTGCTGGTGCTATGAATGCTTCTCGCACTGCTGCTGCTGCTGCTGCCTCTGCTGCTGCTGCTGCTGCTGCTACAAGGGCAGCAGCAGCAGCAGCTACCCGGGTTCGGGAACATTACTCAG